AGGCCGAGGGAGGCCGAGGGAGGCCGAGGGAGGCCGAGGGAGGCCGATGGGGCTGAGGTTTCAGGACTTCAAGTCAGAACCTGTGGTCTCCAGAGCCCTTTGTGGCTCACCAAGCCAGAGGGAAGGAGGGATGTGGCCAAGCTTGGAGTTTCCTACTCTCCTCTCAGAGAATGGTTCACATCTCTGCCTAGGAAGCTTCTAAAACTCCGAGGAGAGAGCTTGGGCGGCTAGGGAAAGGGCAGCTACTTGGAAGGAGACTGGCCTTCCGAGGGAGGAACCACTGTCACCTTTCGAAGTCCTCTGAGGAGTTCCCCGATCTGAGACTAGCTGTGGGCAAAGGCCCTCCCAGGGGCCAGCCCTCACCTGGCCTATCCATGAAATCTTCCCAGAGCACAGCACGTCCAGCCGTGGGCTTGCTGTATGTGGCTGTGGCCGTGCCCACGAGCGGTGGTGGTGGATACCAGACACCTGGCTCTGAGACCCCAGATATTTATCCTTGGGTCCTAAGCAGGAAAAGCCCGCAGATCTGTGTCCTAGATGATGTCCTCACCATTCAGACGCCGGGTTCTACCACACCAGGGAGGGGAAGACGCTTGCCCAAGGACACGCAGCAAGTGGTGAAAGAATCGGACTGGCTCAGTGGGTAGAGGGTTAGCTGTGCAAGTGTGAGGCCTGAGCGCAGTCCGCACACCTGTCACCTCAGTGTGGGGGAAGCAGAGACAGGAGGACCCTGGGGATCAAAGGTATGAGACCTGAAGGATGGCTCAGTGGGAAGAGGTGCCTGCTTCCAAGGCTGATGACCCTAGTTTGGTCTCTGAAACGCACATGGTGGAAGGACAGAACCAACTCCTGAAAGTTGACCTCTGACCTCCGTGTGCGGGTTGTGGCACAAGCCCCGCCCCCAACAAGATAAACAGGGAAATGAAAGTAAGGTGACGAGTCATAAAGGAAGATGCCCAACATCTCTCATTTCTACAAGTATACACACATGAACATCACACCACACACACATCACTCACGACACACACACATCACCCCCACATACATACACACATCAGACACACCCACA